GCATGGATTATGAGTAGAAGACCTCTTTATAATTACCTTTCCAGGATATAGTTCAATAAAATCCTGAAATTTCAGATAGGCTTTAAACAACATCCCTTCTATTTAACAACCTCAAACTTCCGTTCTTTTCAGTTACCAATGACACAAATGTATGGCATACTGATATGTGTGAACCCATATTCCAACAGCGCTTCTGTTACAAGATGCAATTGCACCGTAAAAGAAACGCACTCACGTCGTTGTAAATAGGTGGGATCTGCGCAAAATCATTTTTGGGGATGAGAACGCAAAACGTTGAGAAATTCCCTTTATTTAGTGAGAAACTCTTTGTGTCTTGAGACTTTCCGTTTAGGTGGCAATAACTCTCCAAAGTGCTTGCCTTACATGGTCCATGGAAGACAAGGTCGCAGTAGGGATGCATTAATCGAGCCAGCCTTTTCCTATGTGGTGTTGCGGTCAAATACAAAGAGTAAGTTCAGCGATATTTCGGGCTTTGTTTAAACTGCTGGAGTTGAAACGATAGTTTTTGTATGGATTTCTGCGTCTTGTGGAAAAGTAAAACGTAGAGTTGAGGATTACAGCAAGCTTGTTAACATTGCCATCCGACTATCAAAACTGTTCAAGTTCCTGTGGTATCACGTAATATTATACCCAGTTCAGTCCTAATCCGCCGAGTTCAATCCGTGGAAGCATTTCGTAGCCCACAGATTATTCAACATGTGAACGATTTTAACGTCCGCGTGATAAAACGGGTCGGCTCCAAGGAAACAAGAATATGATCATCTTAATGAGACGAATGCATGTCTGTTGGTGGCTTTGTACCTTTATGTATGTATATGGACAACCCAGAAATATACATGGCCATGTAAGTGGGTCAGTCCGCTCGTCAGGCCACTCGAGCGGCGTAGTGCCAGCTCTCACCGGTATTGCGCCTCGTCATGTCCTCGTAGTGTCGATCGGGAGAAGAAATAAACCTGTAGTTGATGTCCGGTCCTGTTCACTTCCAGAAGTGACGATAAAATGCAGGCAGGATCTGCGGGATATGACACAACACGCTGTGTAACTTGAGCCATTGGATCAGTTTCAAGGATTGCAACCTCAGATCGACTGGTTAATAACATCTCATGTACCAAAGTTTGACCTAAGCTGTTCTGTAGAGGCACATGGTGAAGCTTTTAGTTCGATCCTAATTACGGTTTGCTTGCGTCTAATTTGCTTTCAATGCAAGAAAATTCAGTGCGAGACTTCTTCCAACATTTTTTGGTAAAAATCAAAGGTATTGCATCAGTTTCAGCTGTGAGAGGATGACGTTTGCTACAGAGGGTGCACATAAACGCCATCATGCTTTGATAAGAAAACTGATTAGAAAATATCCGTCCCTGGCATCGCATCTGGTATCGTCCTCCGCATCTGCTCAGGCACAGATACAGCAGTCCTCCGCATCTGCTCAGGCACAGATATAGCGTCCCTGTACGCTTTGTTCAGTTCCCTGTGCGCTCCAAAAACACTGCATACTACTAAAACCGACACTAACAGCAACTTTCAGTTCTCAGATCGCCTCTCACGGCATTCTCTAGCCATGTGACGTGACTCCACTCACCCGAAGCGGCGCTGTTCACTACCCGAAAGGAAGGAAAACATTGACTAATGACGCTTGCTGACGGCTCATATATGCACCTAATGACTCATTCACGCGACACATCAACCCCTGACCGGTCCGTCACTGGCAAAGGTGAGCACGCGGTGGCATGCTGTGGGCTGATGCACGGCCATCTAATAACACATTGGGTGACAGGATCTTATTTGCCAATTTAAATACCTGCAATATCTAAAGAACTCCAATCGCATTTTGTTAACACAGTATCACTGGGCAAGTATGGGAGGAAGCCGGGAAGGAAGCTCCACTTCTGACTCTTTTTTGATTTTTCTCGATAACCTCACAAGAAATATGTAACTTTGATCTGTCGGTGCAAACCTTGAACCTTTTGAATTCGTTAAAAAATGAAAGGTGCTAATTGACAGATTGTGTGATTGTGTCAGGTTTTGCATAACCTTAATTTTTTGGCTTAATTATTTCGGGGTATGGAGAAATACCGGCCACAGGGAAATGACGTGATTATGGGGAAATGTGACGCCTTATCCTATATACTATTATATACGCCCCATATTATCATGGGGAAATACCCATCATGCATTACTGAAATTGTTGTTCGCGTTTGGGGACGAACAAGATTTTAAGTTTGACTCGTTTGATACCTGCGAAGGTTTGGACTGTTGAATTTAAGTCACAAATAGTGTGAGGCTAAAATAAGAAACATCAAATACAAGGTGGCACTGAATAGATCGTAAAATTCGTTGGGGATGCAATTTCCTGCCAAATAAAATAGTACCATTTTTGTATTAAGCTCTTTATTATATCTGCAAAAGACTAATGACTTTATTTAATGTAGTAAGTACTTCTGAAGGAAATTGTATGTCTTACATACACAACATTACATGACTTTTGGTAGCCCTAGTGTAATTTACATTGAACGCTTGCTTCCTTTGAAAAAGTTCTGGCTGCATGTTGAATAAATCCTTTACTCATGCCAGAATAATGTCATCGGTGTGCACGGAGGCAAAACCACACCTCATTGCAATAGCTTTATTGCTTTTTTCAACTAACATGCGACAAAGTTTTTTTATCTAAAAACAAACATCACTTCAACGACAGCAGACACACACGAGTGTCTTACTGGAAGAACCACTTGTACACAGCTCGTGCTGCCATCTCGAGCAGCCCACACTCTGAAGCCACAACCCCCGACGACCCTCCATACAGAAAATGTACGCTTCTTCGTATCTTATCGCTGCAGTTGTCTTGTCTACTCTTGCATGCTTTGCCTTTTCGCTGTTGCGCACTTTCAGTTTCTCGTCCTCTTTCCCTTTTCAAGAATCACGACTTGGACTGGGCTGTTTGTGGACACTGCCTATACCTTTCTTTTTTGGTAGATGTCATCTCGTTAGATCCTTCAGCATCGGGGGCTGAATCAACGAAACGCGCTAAGTACGTGTGATGCTGTCCGCATGGGTTTGTGCGGCCGTAGGCGTAGCCAAGGGGGGGGGGGGGGGCGCAAACGAGGCCATGTGCTCCCCTAGAGGCCAACGGGCCCTGTGGCCTTTTGAGGACATGCTGCGGGCCTCAGTCGACATTTGTGTGGAACCTGTCCACCTGAAGAGGGCCTCTATCGGCATTTAGATGGCCCCAGCGATCTGCAAACGCCTCTCTTCAGCATTCAAGGCCCTGTCGATCTATAAAGGGCCTTGGTTGCTTTAGATGGCCCCTGCTAGTTGTTGAGCTCCCTTTACCAGCCTTGCCCCCCGCCGGCCTTTATACGGCAAGAGTAACATAGACTAAAGGGGCCCACCCGAGAACGTGGGAACCGGGAGGGCAAGTCGTTCCCCAACTTGAACGCTGAGAGGCGGTGCCCCCCCCCCCCCCCCCCATCGTTCTGGAGGGACTGTAGAGAGCCTATTGTGTCCTGTTAAAGACCCATTATTGACAGCGAAGGGTTTATTTTCTCTTGTACATGGGACCAGTCAGGCTTGTAATGAGCACATTACTTACTGTAGAATGCTCATTTTGGCCGGTAAAAAATCTTCTTTTTTGTCTGTGGAGGGCCCATTTTGGCCTGACCAGAACAGTGTCCATTATTGACTGTGGAGAGCTAAGTCTGGCGTGTAGAAGTCCATTCTGCCGTGGCGAGTGCCCATTCTGGCATGGCGAGGGCCCATTCTGGCCCGTAAATGGCTTATTCTGGCCTGCAGATGGCCCATTCCGACACATAGTTGGCATGCTATCGATTATGAAGGGCCCATTCTGCTGGTAAGGAAATATCGCCTTCGACAACCTCCTAGAAGGTTGATGATAGTATGTATTAGCTCTTTAAATATAGTAGCATTGTATAGCGTAACAAAGAAACCACAATAATAGCTGGAACCCCCATGATCAGGCGTGAAAACCATGCAACACAATCTCGGGAAGAGTCAAATGTGATTCGCCTCAGGTCTTCCCAATTCATTGCTGGCAAATTCCGTTGATGTGGTAGAAACTAGGTGATAATGACTTGAGTTAAGTTGCATGTTATTACTGCCTTTGTTGAACATTTTCTTGGGCTTCGCCGTTTACTTCGCCGGAAAATGAATAATTAGAGTTAGTTTATAATTTTTAGGAGCCCCTATAGCTGACGGATTTTAGTTAATCTCTCCGTCATCGGCCAACTTCGCATTCCTTCCAGAGTGTGTGTCCCCGACGTACGGTCTCCGTCCCCTCCCCCACAAGTATGGCCCGCAAATCTTGTGCGAAATTCAATGTCTGTTTGTAAACTGAAGTTGCCCTCGTCAAGAACATAAAGCACATGTTGGAGTTTATGCTCGCTTTCATGAAGCTTGCAGATCGATACTGGTCTCGGCCAAAAGCGGACCAAATTAATCAAGTGTGCTTTTGGGGAAGAAGACACTGCATTCTGGCTGACCCCATATCAGATGTTCTTCAGTTGCGTGCGTTGGCTTCCGTCGCAGGTCTGGAATCCCCAGTACTGGTATCCAAAAAATGGATCATGGTGTAACGTGTTACCGGGCTGATAAGGCCTTACAACGTCGATGATAAAAGACAACCCCTGATGTGTCCAAAGAATCGTTATTCGAATCTCAGGTAAAATATTTCTTGTCGCAAAAACGGCATAATGACGCATTCCCTGGAATTGGATAGAGATTGCTTCACGAGATAGGAACCTTGTGGAGCGATGAAGTTAGGTACCGCTTGGAAAGTTCTGAAAAGGCGTGAGCGCGGCCGTTCAACTCTCATGGAGGCGGCGCTCCCGTACACAAATACTTAACTCAAAAAACCTCTTTTAATAGTAGTCGAATATGTCTATGTATTTTCGGCGCATCCAGACGCATCGCAGTAATTGATGGCGACACTCAAGGGCTAAAAAACGTCAAAGACAAACAATGGCGGATGCACATGGCACAAAAGCAAACCCAGTGATCATGCTGTACCCTCAAGGATTGGCCACCAGTCCCGCAAACAAGGTGACTCTTTCACGCTTGTGGTAGAGGATGACGTAAAATGGCCTGTCTACAATGAAGGGTACGGTGATAGGCAAAGCCCTTGCGATTGAGAACACCGCCGTCGCCTTAGCCGTTGTACCCTCCTCATTGACCTCCATCACCGCCTTGTGGATGATTTTGCTGACAAAGATTTTGTCCGACGACATGCCGCGGAAATTTGCCGCCTGGTGGAAAATCTGCCTGATGCCCAGTTTCTTCATGTAGAAGGGCAGCTCATAGCTACGCTCGAGCTTGAAGGATGGCATCACTACACGTACCTTCGTCTGATGCAGCTGGCTGTGTAGCCAGGTCACGTTCAGGCTGTCCAGAGACTTGCGGATCATGGTCACGGCAAACAGGGTTCGAAAGCGCGGGCGCAGCACCAGCAAGCTATAATCTTGGTTTTGGTACGGCAACTCCACTACATCAAAGTTTGGCTGGCCGGCAATGCCAAGCCTCGCTTCCACCTTCATCATGTCTATCCTCCGATCACCATCGGACGTCAAGAACGGCTTCTGCCCGTCCTTCTTGAAGCGATAAAGCCAAGTGCCCTTGAAATGCACAGCGCTGATGAGCACCAGTGCAGCGGAGGTGAGGTCGGCAGTTGTCTCCAGGCCCCTGATGCGTCCTCGCGTTGCCGCCGACACCTGGTTGTTGATGACCTGGGCGGCCTTCCTGGCGTCGCTGGGCAACAACTCCACTCCAGACCCGTAGAAGTTCGCCAGCAGGTCGCTGAAGGTGCGGCGCACGCTGTACCTGCGCGTGCGATAGATCCTGCTGAACACTGACGTCGTGACGCCGTCGATGTTCTCCGACAAGACCGCCAAGGCCGAGCGGTAGCCGTCGAGGAAGGATCTGTCGTTTGGACCGGATATCCCCAGCACAGGCGTCATCTGGGTGGAGCAGGCAGGCACGCAGTGTCACATCTCTCTTCCGTGTTTCATCAACAAAGATCACAGGGCGGTAAGTCACGCTTATGTCCTGCGACAAGGTGAGCTGGCACATGTGCCTCGAACCAGTGCAGATAGCACGCCTCGCTGAAGATCCATCATCTGTGGCCTCACCTCAGCTCTGGTGGTGCCTTCGGCGCCCAGCCAGACCTGCGACATCAGCAGCGACATCAGGAACGGCGAGATCACATGGTTGTCCACCGGACCCGACGTCACCTCCTTGAGCAGCTTCATGTCCAGGCCAGTGGGCACACAGGCGCCTCCCAGCGTGGCCAGCAGCAGGAGTGGCGCCAGCCAGGCGCCTGAGAAGGCGGGTCATCTCAGGTCTCACAGAAACCCACGCAAGTCTCATTTCTGGCGATGGCCGGCAGCGATGTGCCGCCTCGGTTGTTCTAGCGGGGTACGATAGGGCCGCAACAGAGTTAGCGTTGGTTAACTGGTGATGAAAGCTGCAAAGAATAACACTGCTCTGTGATGGTTGGTAGGCCATGACAACAAATACAAGTTTGCCGAGGTTGACACCACCACCACCGCTGGCCGCTCCGGTGCATTGCTCGTAACATCACCTATTGCCTCACGTGTTACCGATCACCGCCGCATGGATTATGAGTAGAAGACCTCTTTATAATTACCCTTCCAGGATACTAGTTCAATAAAATCCTGAAATTTCAGATAGGCTTTAAACAACATCCCTTCTATTTAACAGCCTCAAACTTCCGTTCTTCCCAGTTACCAATGACACAAATGTATGACATACTGATATGTGTCAAACCATATTCCAACAGCGCTTCAGTTCCAAGATGGAATTCCACCTTAAAGAAACGCACTCACGTCGTTGTAAATAGGTGGGATCTGCGCAAAACCATTTTTGGGGACGAAAACGTAGAAGGCTGATTTACGCCCCTCACTTAGGTAGTAAACTTTTTGTGTCTTGCGACTTTCCGTTTGGGTGGCAATAACTCTCCGAGTGCTGACCTTACATGGGCCATGGAAGACAAAGTCGCAGTAGTGATGCATTGATCGAGCCAGCCTTTTCTCAAGTGATGTTGCAGATAAATACAAATGGTAAGTTCAGTGACATTTCAGGCTTTGTTCAAACTGCTGGAGTTGAAACGGTGGCTTTATGTGAATTTCTGCGTCTTGTGGGAAGGTAAAACGTAGAGTTGAGGATTACACCAAGCTTGTTAACATTGCCATCCGACAATCAAAACTGTTCAAGTTCCTTCGGTATCACCTATTGTTATACCCAGTTCAGTCGTAATCCGCTGAGTTCCATCCGTGGAGCATTTCGTAGCCCACAGACTATTCAACATATGAACGATTTTAACGTCCGCGTGATAAAAACGACCCGACTCCAAGAAAACAAGAATATACTCATCGTAATGAGAAGAATGCATGTCTGTTGGTGGTTTTGTACCTTTATATAGGTATATTGACAAACCAGAAATATACATTGATATGCAAGTGAGTCAGTCCGCTCGTCAAACCACTCTAGCGGCGTGTGCCAGCTCTCACCGGTATTGCGCCTCGTCATGTCCTCGTAGTGTCGATTGGGAGAAGAAATAAACCTGTAGTTGATGTCCGGTCCTGTTCACTTCCAGAAGTGACGATAGAATGAAGGCAGGATCTGTGGGATATGACACAACACGCTGTGTAACTTGAGCCGTTGGATCAGTTTCAAGCATTTGAACCCCAGATCGACTGGTTAATAACATCCCATGTACCAAAGTTTGACGTAAGCTGTTCTGTAGAGGCACGTGGTGAAGCTTTTAGTTCGATCCTAATTACGATTTGCTTGCGTCTACTTTGCTTTCAATGCAAGAAAATTCAGTCCGAGACTTGTTCCAACATTTTTTGGTAAAAATCAAAGGTATTGCATCAGTTTCAGCTGTGAGAGGATGACAGTTTGCTACAGAGGGTGCACATAAACGCCATCATGCTTTGATAAGAAAACTGATTAGAAAATATCCGTCCCTGGCATCGCATCTGGTATCGTCCTCCGCATCTGCTCAGGCACAGATATAGCGTCCCTAAACGCTTTGTTCACTTCCCTGTGCGCTCCAAAAAAACACTGCATACTACTAAAACCGACACCAAGAGCAACTTTCAGTTCTCAGATCGCCTCTCACGGCATTCTCTAGCCATGTGACGTGACTCCACTCACCCGATGCGGCGCTGTTCGCTGTCCGAAAGCAAGAAAGCCATTGACTAATGACACTTGCCGGCGGCTCATATATACAGCCCAGTGACTCATTCACGCGACATATCAACCCCTCACCGGTCCGTCACTGGCAAAGGTGAGCGCGCGATGGTATGCTGTGAGCTGATGCAAGACCTTATAGTAACACAGTGGGTGGCAGCATCTTATTTGCCAAGTTGAATAACTGATTGCAACAATAATAGAACTCCAATCGCATTTTGTTAACACATTATCACTGCGTAAGTGTGGCGGGAAGCCTAGGTAGACAACACTCCCCACTCGTTTTGGATTTTTCTTGAGAACTATACAAGAAATATGAAAACATTGATTGTCGGTGCAAGCCTTGGATCTTTTGAATTAGTTAACAAAGAAAATGAAAGGTGCTTATTGACAGATGGTGTGGTTGTGCCATGTTTTGTAAGACTTTAATTTTCTCGGCGTCATGATTTCGGGTAGGCCCACCCATGGGGAAATATCGGCCATGCATTACGAAAACTGTTTTCACGTTTGAGGTCAAACAATATTTTAAGTTTCACTCGTTTTAATACCAACGAAGGTTTGGACGGTTGAATTTGAAGTCACAAATAGTATGGGGTTAAAATAGGAACTATTTAGTACAATCCGGCGCTGAAGAGATCGTAAAATTCGTGGGGATGCAATTCACTTGTAAATAAAATACATACAATATTTGTATTAGTCTCTTGATTGTACCCGCAAGAGAGTAATGGTTTTAGTTGATGCAGCAAGTACTTCTGAAGGAAATTGTATGTCGTACATGACATACACAATATTTCATAATGTTTGACAGCCCTAGTATGGTCTGCATTAAACACTTGCTTGCTTTGAAGATCACATTCTGGCTACATTTTGAACTAGTCTTTTACTCGTCTGAGAATAATTTCATCGGAGTGCACTGAGGCAAAATCACACCATATTTCAATAACTTAATTGTTTTTCAACTAACGTGCGACCAATTTAAATTTAATTTAAATTTGATTTTTCATCAGTTTAAAAGCAAAAGTCACTTCAACGACAGCAGACACACTGGAGTGCCTGGTGCCACTTGCACACAGTGCCTGGTGCCACTGGAGTGCCTGGTGCCACTTGCACACAGTGCCTGTGCCACTGGAGTGCCTGGTGCCACTTGCACACAGTGCCTGGTGCCACTGGAGTGCCTGGAGTGCCACTTGCACACAGCTCGTGCCGGTCATCTCAAGCAGCCCACACTCTGAAGCCACAACCTCCGACGACCCTCCATACAGAATATGTACGCTTCTTCGTATTTCATTGCTGTGGTTGTCTTGTTTGCTCTTGCACGCTTTGCCTTTCCGCTGTTGCACACTTTCAGTTTCTCGTTCTGTTTCCGGTTTTCAAGAATCACAACATGGACTGGGCTGTTTGTGGACACTGCCTACACCTTTCTTTTTTGGTAGATGTCATCTCGTTAGATCCTTCAGCATCGGGGGCTGAATCAACGAAACGCGCTAAGTACGTGTGATGCTGTCCGCATGGGGTTGTACGGCCGTAGGCGTAGCCAGGGGGGGGGGGGGGGGGGCGCAAACGGGGCAATTTGCTACTCTAGAGGCCAACGGGCCCTGTGGCCTTTTGAGGACATGCTGCGGGCCTCAGTCGACATTTGTATGGAACCTGTTCACCTGAAGAGGGCCTCTATCGGCATTTAGATGGCCCCAGCGATCTGCAAACGCCCCTCTTCAGCATTCAAGGCCCTGTCGGCATTCGGCAAGGCATTCAAGGCCCCCATTTTTAACACTTTTACCCTTACCTGGAAGGTGCAACTGGGCGCTAATGAAATTATTGTGAAAGCACCAACGGGCTGTATGTAATGGCGATAAACGTGATGATTATACGTGTATATCATGGATAGCTGTACGCAAGGAAGCTGTCAGAAGAAAGGTCAGACGAATATTCAATGTCAGGCGCCCGATAAAGTCAGTAATTTCACGGCCGGAGTTGCAAATGAGGTACAACGGAAACATCTTTCATAAATAATCGCAGGATCAGTATCATAGCTCAGACATCAAATTCCAGACAAGTTTTTCGAATAATACGGTTGCCTTACTTACACTGCATGGTAGGATCCCACAGGAAACAGGTCTCGACCATTAGCGTACCTTTCCGTTTGCCAGCAGTCCGGGACGAGATTGGGCCGCTTTGCACCGTCCGGACCTAGTTCACAGATAATGCTTGAACGTGTTTGAAATGTTGCGCTAATGCATCCGACACTCACATTTCCAGGCACGAGTTGAACTTTCACTGCCCTTATTACCCACACGGCTGTGCCGCAACACAGGCCGTGAGAAACTCTGTGACCATAAGGCAAACTTCGCATTCCTTCCATGGTGCTGCGTCCCCGACGTGCGGTCTCTGTCCCCCCTCCCCCATACAATTATGTCCCGCAAATCTTGTAGGAAATTTAATCTTTGTTTGTAGACTGAAGTTGTTCTCGTCAAGGACTTCAAACACATGTCGGAGTTTATGCTCGTTTTCATGGAGCTTGCGGACCGATCCCCGTCTCGGCCACAGGCAAACCTAATTATATGAAGTGTGCTTCAGAGAAGGAGATACTGCATTATTGCTGACCCTGTATCAGATGCTTCTCAGGTGTGTGCGTTGGCTTCCGTCGCAGGTCTGGAATCCACAGTATTGGTATTGTGACGTGCTGCATGTGCATGCCTTGATGGTTGTGCACGTGCTGTTGGTATGGCATGCGGTAGTGGCTTGCATGGTGGTTGCTTGGTGCATGCGGTCGTGGACGCTCTCGTTGCTGCATGCTGCATGCCCTTATGCTAGCTCCCAGGGCTGCATGCGGTGTATGGTTAGTTGCCAGCTAATGAGTCCTTTGCATGTGTTGCAGAATGAGTGTCTAGTTCGACGGTGTACTGCTGCCTGAATAAACCACAGCTTGGCAGTTGTCGCAGTATCCAAAGAAGGGATCATGGTGCAACGTGTCACCACGCTGACAAGCCCTTACAACGTGGATAATAAGAGACCAAGGGTGATCAAAGAATCGCTGTTTGAATGGCAGGTAGAGTCTTTCTAGAGTCTTGCAAAGGCCCATGCTGATACGCATCCATTGCTTCTGTAGGGAGACTTTTTGGCGAGAGCAGGATACATGTGAGACGATGAAGTCAAGTACCGTTTGCATAATTCAGAAAACAGGCCGTGTACGCGACCCGTTCAACTCTCATGAAGTCGGCGCTCTCGCACACAAATGATCCCTTCAAAAGGCCTCTTTTATTGGCAGTCGGATACGTCTACGTATTTTCGGTGCATCCACTCTAATCGCAAAAATGTCAGGCGACCATTTCGGTTTGAAACAAATGTGATTAAAACCAACGATGGCGGATGCACATGGAACAAAGGCGTACCCAATGATCATGCTGTGCTCTCAAGGATTAGCTACTAGTCCAGCAAACAAGGTGACTTTTTCACGTTTGTGGTAGAGAATGACATAAAATGGCCTGTCTAGCAGTGAAGGTCGCGGATTGAATCCCGATTCTTGCTACTATTACACTGTCGCCGCCGCAGCTGTCGTGCCCTCCTCATTGACCTCCTATCACCCGCCTTATGGATGATGTTACGCTGACGAAGGTCTTGTCCGGACGATATGCCGTTGAAGTTTGCCCCCCGGTGGAAAATCTGCTTGATGCCCAGGCTTCTCATGTAGAAGGGCATCACATAGAGACCCTCGATCTTGACGACGGCATCACCACACGCACGGTTCGCTGACGTAGCTGACTGTGTAGCCGGGTCACGTTCAGGCCGTCGAGAGACTTCCGCATCAGGGTCAGGCCAGCCATGGAGCGACTGCGCGGGCGCAGCACCAGCAAGCTGTAATCTTGGTTTTGGTACGGTAACGCAACGACATCAAAGTGTCGTCGGGCGGCAATGCCAAGCTCTGCCTCCACCATCATCATGTCTACCTGCCGATCACCATCCGACGTCAAGAACGGCTTCTTGCCCGTGCTTCTTGAAGCCATAAAGCCAAGTGCCCTTGAAATACACGGCGCTTAAAAGCACCAGTTGAGCATTCCTGACGTCGGCACTTGACACCAGGTCCTTGATGTGTCCGCGCGTTGCCACCGCCACCTGGATGTTGATGATCAGAGCAGCCTTCAAGGCGTTGCCGGGCAGCACCTCCACTCCGGCTCCGTAGTAACGCGCCAATAAATCGCTGAAGGTGCGGCGCACGCTGAAGTTGCGCTTGCGATAGATCCTGCTGAACACTGACGCCCTGACGCCGTCACTGGTTCCAGACAAGACGGCCAAGGCCGAGCGGTAGCCGTCGAGGAAGGATCTGTCGTTTGGACCGGACATTCCCAGCACAGGCGTCATCTGGGTGGAGTAGACAGACATAACAATGTCATATCTCTCCTCCGTGTTTCATCAACAAAGATCACAGGGCGATAAATCATGTTTTATGTCCTCTGCAAGGTGAGCTGGCACATATGCCTCGAACCAGTGCAGATAGCACGCCTCACTGAACATCCATCATCTGTGGCCTCACCTCGGCTCTGGTTGTGCCTTCGGCGCCCAGCCAGACCTGCGACATCAGCAGCGACATCAGGAACGGCGAGATCACATGGTTGTTCATCGGATTCGACGTCACCCCCTTGAGCAGCTTCATGTCCAGGCCAGTGGGCACAGAGGCGCCTCCCAGCGTGGCCAGCAGCAAGAGTGGCGCCAGGCAGGCGCCTGAGAAGGCGGATCATCTCAGGTCTCACAGAAACCCACGCAAGTTTCATTTCTGGCGATGGCCGGCAGCGATGTGCGGCCTCGGTTGTTCTAGCGGGGTACGATAGGACCGCAACAGAGTTAGCGTTGGTTAACTGGTGATGAGCTATAAAGCTGCTAAGAATAACACTGCTCTGTGATGGTTGGCAGGTCATGACAACAAATATAAGTTTGCCGAGGTTGACACCACCACCACCGCTGGCCGCTCCGGTGCATTGCTCGTAACATCACCTATCGCCTCACTTGTTACCGATCACCGCCGCATGGATTATGAGTAGAAGACCTTTTATAATTACCTTTCCAGGATATAGTTTAATAAAATCCTGAAATTTCAGATAGGCTTTAAACAACATCCCTTCTATTGACAACCTCAAACTTCCGTTCTTTTCAGTTACCAATAACACGAATGTATGGCATACTGATATGTGTGAACCCATATTCCAACAGCGCTTCTGTTACAAGATGCAATTGCACCGTAAAAGAAACGCACTCACGTCGTTGTAAATAGGTGGGATCTGCGCAAAATCATTTTTGGGAATGAGAACGTAAAACGTTGAGAAATTCCCTTTATTTAGTGAGAAACTCTTTGTGTCTTGCGACTTTCCGTTTAGGTGGCAACAACTCTCCAAAGTGCTTGCCTTACATGGTCCATGGAAGACAAGGTCGCAGTAGGGATGCATTAATCGAGCCAGCCTTTTCCTATGTGGTGTTGCGGTCAAATACAAAGAGCAAGTTCAGCGATATTTCGGGCTTTGTTTAAACTGCTGGAGTTGAAAACGATAGTTTTTGTATGGATTTCTGCGTCTTGTGGAAAAGTAAAGCGTAGAGTTGGGGATTACACCAACTTTGTAGCATTGCCATTCGACTATCAAAACTGTTCAAGTTCCTGTGGTATCACCTAATGTTATACCCAGTCCACCCCTAATCCCGCCGAGTTCATCCGTGGAGCATTTCGTAGCCCACAGATTATTCAACATGTGAACGATTTTAACGTCCGCGTGATTAAAACGGGTCGGCTCCAAGGAACAGGAATATGTCATCTTAATGAGACGAATGCATGTCTGTGGTGGCTTGTACCTTTATATAGGTATATCGACAACCCAGAAATATACATCGATATGTAAGTGGGTCAGTCCGCTCGTCAGGCCACTCGAGCGGCGTGTGCCAGCTCTCACCGGTATTGCGCCTCGTCATGTCCTCGTAGTGTCGATTGGGAGAAGAAATAAACCTGTAGTTGATGTCCGGTCCTGTTCACTTCCAGAAGTGACGATAGAATGCAGGCAGGATCTGTGGGATATGAGACATAACACGCTGTGTAACTTGAGCCATTGGTACCAGTTTCAAGGTTTTGACCTTAGGTCGACTGGTTTATAACACCCCATGTAAGCACAGCTTTGACGTAAGCTGTTCTGTAGAGGCATATGGTGAAGCTTTTTGCTCGATGTTATTTGCGCTTTGTGAGATAAAGCCCGTGCAGTCTTTAAGTCAGTGATGTTTACCCAAAGCGTTCTGTATCTTCTATAAAAGCTCTGCATGTTCTATAAAACTGTCCATGGCTATATAATTGCTGCATACCATTTGAAATGCTATAAGTCTGAAGAATGTAGCACATACTTTGTTTGCAATGCCAGAAAAGCTATTTCGTGATCTCGTTTGACATTTTGGTTAGAAGATCAAGGGTAATGCATTAGTTCTCAACTGTGAGAGTTGATGTCCGGTCCTTTTCAGTAGCTAGTTTGAAGGTTTTGGCTCATGTCACACCAGTGCTGAAAAATGTGTTTCCCCGTGGAAAACTGCTTTCCTGCTGAAAGCGTGCATAAACGCCATTTGCCCTGGTAGGATGGATACAAAAAGGATACATTTGCCCTACGCATCGCATCCGATATCATCCTTCCCATCGACCTAGCAGCATGTATAGCTTTCCTGTAAGCTTTGCTCGTTTTTCATTGCGCTCGAAAAACGCTGCATGCTACAAAAGTCCGATACCGAAAGCAATTTTCATTTCTTAGATTCCCAATAAGGTATTGTCTAAAATCATGTGGTTTGACACTACTCACCTGAGCGGCGATGTTCAGCTACCCGAAAGCAAGGAAAACATTGACTGATGACCCTTGCTGACGGCTCATATATGCACCTAATGACTCATTCACGCGACACATCAACCCCTGACCGGTCCGTCACTGGCAAAGGTGAGCACGCGGTGGCATGCTGTGGGCTGATGCAAGGCCCTATGATAACACATGAGGTGACAGGATCTTATTCGCCTATTCAATAAATGATTGCAATTAATTGCAGAACTCCAATCGCATCTCGTGGCACATTATCACTGGGTAAGCATTGGGGGAGCCCGGAGTGGCCTCCACTCCATAGTCCTTTCCGGATTTGTCTTGAAACTACTCAAGGTATATTCAATATTTATATGTAGGTGCAAACCTTGGTTCTGCTGTATTTGTCAAAAAACAACGAAAACCACTATTTGATATATGGTATGGTTTTGTCATGTTTCGTAAGGCAATTAAGTTTTTCTGGGGTAGGCCCGCCGGCGGGGAATCTCGCCAACTCCAACATTACTTGAGTGATCTATCCAGCCAGGTCTGCCCCGTTTGCGTGCGCTATCTCTTCAAGCTCCAAACATGAACCAAGCAACATAAGCCACTCGGTTGTGCGTTGGCCAGCCAGTGGATTGTGGGTGTCGAGCTTGAAGATGTAAGGTCTCAATGAAGTCTCAAGGTCACCGGCCTATCACGTGGAGTTGGGCTTGGCAAGTCGTCCTGTCCACCGGAGCTGGCCGGTGGTCACCCGTTTTTGGTCCACCTGAGCTGATGTGGTCAACGTCCTGTCCGTCTGATGTGGCGAGGTTCACCGTCCGCGCACGGTGAGCTGGCTTGCAGTCTCCTATCCACCTGAACTGGGGGTGGGTCACCGTCCTGTTCACCTGAGCTGGCTTGGCAGCCCTCCTGTCCACCTGAGCTGGCTTGGCAGCCTTCCTGTCCCACCTGAGCTGGTTTGGCAGCCGTCCTGTCCACCTGAGCTGGCGTGGTCACCGCCCTGTGTACCTGAGCAGGCGTGGTTTGCCGTCCTATCCACCTGAGCTGGCTAGGCAGCCGTCCCTAGTCCACCTGAGCTGGCTTGGCAGCCTTCCTGTCCACCTGAGCTGGCGTGGTCACCGCCCTGTTCACCTGAGCTGGCTTGGCAGCCGTCCTATCCACCTGAGCTGGCGTTATCACCGTCTGTCCACCTGAAGCGGCGCTGCCACCGTCTGTCCGCCTGAAGCGGCGCTGCCACCGCCCATATCCACATGGGCCGCTATTGGCCATGAAACTGCTCCTGCACTCAGAACCTTTTGTTCCAAAACCTCGTTGTGAACGAAGCTCCTCAGGTTCCCTCCCCCCTCCCCCCCCCCACGCCACCCGAGCTGAATGAGTGAGCGCCACTAGCATTTGAATCCCATGGTGATAGCGTCTTGGTTTCCCACGATGGAGCGCCAAGCTCGAGCAAGAACATCATCCACATGCTTATCTGTAATTGTTTGCCCTGGATTGGCTTCACACTGGAAGCTGACTTGACCGGTCCGTGCTCTCTTCAGTGGTCCGTACATGGGCAGTTTCGGGGTCTGTACCACGTACGAGCTGCGCGGTGGGATTGTGTACTGTATGACAACAAAAGTTGCTTCTTGGATGCTCCACTGTTCACGTCAGTTAAATATATTGTCGTGCAATATCATGTTATTAAAGGTTTACTGCAAATCCACACATCATAGCCATCAGAGCAGTATACCAAGTTACACCATGCTGCAAACTTTAATTGAGACTTACATCTAAGCTCGACACCCACATCCACTGGCTGGCCAACGCACACCGAGTGGCTTATGTTGCTTGGTTCATGTTTGGACGCGAAGAGATAGCGCACGCAAAGGGGGCAGACCTGGCTAGATAGATCACTCAAGTAATGTTGGGAGTTGGCGAGACAGCTCGACAAGCTTATGTGCGCATCGTAAACACGCGCCCGGGGTGGCCGGTCGAACATCCTTCTCCCGGTAAGGGAGGGGGCAATTTGATCCTTTGAGATCTCAAAGGCTAAACAAGCTAGCGACACCAAATGCACAAGGTGTGTTGGCCTGTATGTGAACTCGTTTGTTTCAAAATGTGAGACTCTTAGGTCATGACCTTTGGATCAAATAGGGTCAAACAAGGCCAAACTCCAGATTGATATTCAAGATACTCTCAGACTTTCTCGTGCAACCCTCGTGAGCCTAGAAAACTGTTCTGAGCAAAAGCTTACTGAAGCCCATTAAAGATCAGTGACCTTATGAGACTGCCTTGATGGTTTAGGCCTGAGTTTCATCTGTTACGGGTCAGCGACCTTACGAGGTACGACTAATTTTCTGACACCAAAAG